CTAACAACAGCTTTTTTTTGAGACGACACCAGAGGAGTTTCCTCCTCTGGTTCCACCTCTGGTTCCTCCTCTGGTTCCCCCTCTGTCCTCTGTTCCTTCAGTATTCCTTGTTGACGTGATCGCTGGTTCCTCCTCTGGTTCCTCCTCTATTTCCCCCTCTGGTTCCTCCTCTGGTTCCCCCTCTGGTTCCTCCTCTGGTTCCCCCTCTGGTTCCTCCTCTGGTTCCTCCTCTGGTTCCCCCTCTGGTTCCTCCTCTGGTTTCTCCTCTGGTTCCCCCTCTGTTTCCTCCTCTGGTTCCTCCTCTGGTTCCTCCTTTGTTTCCTCCTCTGGTTCCTCCTCTGGTTCCTCCTCTGGTTCCCCATCTGGTTCCTCCTCTGGTTCCCCCTCTGGTTCCCCCTCTGGTTCCTCCTCTGGTTCCCCCTCTGTTTCCTCCTCTGGTTCCTCCTCTGGTTCCTCCTCTGGTTCCTCCTCTGGTTCCCCCTCTGTTTCCTCCTCTGGTTCCTCCTCTGGTTCCCCCTCTGGTTCCTCCTCTGGTTCCCCCTCTGGTTCCTCCTCTGGTTCCTCCTTGGGTTCCCCCTCTGGTTCCTCCTCTGGTTCCCCCTCTGGCTCCTCCTCTGGTTCCTCCTCTGGTTCCCCCTCTGGTTCCTCCTCTGGTTCCCCCTCTGGTTCCTCCTCTGGTTCCTCCTCTGGTTCCCCCTCTGGTTCCTCCTCTGGTTCCCCCTCTGGTTCCTCCTCTGGTTCCTCCTCTGGTTCCTCCTCTGGTTCCCCATCTGGTTCCTCCTCTGGTTCCCCCTCTGGTTCCTCCTCTGGTTCCTCCTCTGGTTCCTCCTCTGGTTCCTCCTCTGGTTCCCCATCTGGTTCCTCCTCTGGTTCCCCCTCTGGTTCCTCCTCTGGTTCCTCCTCTGGTTCCCCATCTGGTTCCCCCTCTGGTTCCCCCTCTGGTTCCTCCTCTGGTTCCCCATCTGGTTCCTCCTCTGGTTCCTCCTCTGGTTCCTCCTCTGGTTCCTCCTCTGGTTCCCCATCTGGTTCCCCCTCTGGTTCCCCCTCTGGTTCCCCCTCTGGTTCCTCCTCTGGTTCCCCCTCTGGTTCCTCCTCTGGTTCCTCCTCTGGTTCCTCCTCTGGTTCCTCCTCTGGTTTCTCCTCTGGTTCCCCCTCTGGTTCCCCCTCTGTTTCCCCCTCTGTTTCCTCCTCTGGTTCCTCCTCTGGTTCCTCCTCTGGTTCCCCCTCTGGTTCCTCGTCTGGTTCATCCTCTGGTTCCCCATCTGGTTCCTCCTCTGGTTCCTCCTCTGGTTCCTCCTCTGGTTCCTCCTCTGGTTCCTCCTCTGGTTCCTCCTCTGTCGTCTGTCCCCTCAGTGTTCCTTGTTGCCATGACAGCGCAGCAGACCAGGGGGTCACTTCCTGTTTGCTGGTTTGTGTGTCTTCTGGGAATGTTGTGTGTGAGAAAGGAAGTGTGACGCTGCACACGGACGCACAAGGTCAGCGCCAAACCACAGGCCGTAAGTCACCGCGGCCGAGGAAGAAAGTCCGGAAGAGGAAGTCATTCACCACCACAACACTTTGAACTGATGCAACCATGAGTCAGCATCGCCCACCATCGCACAGGTGTTCGATGGTGCTGTCAGACTGTACAATAAGTCACTAACGCACTACATCACAGACATGTTCCAATGGGCTTTAGAAAAACCACCAAAAAGGCTCAGCCAATCAGAGGTGTGTGTGTGTGTCTATGTGTCTGTGTGTGTCTCAGTGTGTGTGTGTGTGTGTGTCTATGTGTCTGTGTGTGTCTCAGTGTGTGTGTGTCTATGTGTCTGTGTGTGTCTCAGTGTGTGGGTGTGTGTGTCCGGGGATGGCGTGACCATAGAATGATAGAACTGGGAAGCGCGCAGAGGACGAGACTTAGAGCCCTGCACTTGAGCCCTTGGCCTGAGGGCCCCGACAGCCCGAGGGCCCCGACAGCCCGAGGGCCCCGACAGCCCGAGGGCCCCGACAGCCCGAGGGCCGGGCTTCGAGCCGATGACCGCCGGGGCCCGAGGGCCCCGACAGCCCGAGGGCCGGGCTTCGGGCCGATGACCGCATAATGACCTCGGGCCAGGCTCGGGCTCTTCATTTTCAGAGCGGCAGAATAGATTTACGAACACACCCACTGAATATAGCGTTCTATCACGCTGTAGTGTTTGTTGTTCTGTGTAGTGTTGTCATTGACGACACATAGCGTTACTTACAGGTGTGTTGCAGCATCTGGGCATCATACAGCTGTGTATCATACAGCTGTGTATCATACAGCTGTGTATCATACAGCTGTGTATAATACAGCGGTGTATCATACAGCTGTGTATCATACAGCTGTGTATCATACAGCTGTGTATCATACAGCTGTGTATAATACAGCGGTGTATCATACAGCTGTGTATAATACAGCGGTGTATCATACAGCTGTGTATAATACAGCTGTGTATCATACAGCTGTGTATAATACAGCTGTGTATCATACAGCTGTGTATCATACAGCTGTGTATCATACAGCTGTGTATCATACAGCTGTGTATCATACAGCGGTGTATCATACAGCTGTGTATAATACAGCGGTGTATCATACAGCTGTGTATCATACAGCTGTGTATCATACAGCTGTGTATCATACAGCTGTATGTCATACAGCTGTGTATCATACAGCGGTGTATCATACAGCTGTGTATCATACAGCTGTGTATCATACAGCGGTGTATCATACAGCTGTGTATAATACAGCGGTGTATCATACAGCTGTGTATAATACAGCTGTGTATCATACAGCTGTGTATCATACAGCTGTATGTCATACAGCTGTGTATAATACAGCGGTGTATCATACAGCTGTGTATCATACAGCTGTGTATCATACAGCTGTGTATAATACAGCTGTGTATCATACAGCTGTGTATCATACAGATGCGGCCGTTTACTCCGCACACACAGAACTCATTGCAACACATCACTACCATGTATAACTCCGCCCTCTGGCTAAGTCTGCGTTCATATCAGTGCGCGGCACTATATACTACGCTAAAACATTGTTATGGGAGGTTACAAAAAAAATTAAAGCCGCAAGCGGCGTCGAACGGCCCTCGCCGCACCGTGCGACTTCCCGCTCCACTACGACTCCCCGCTTTGCTACGACTCCCCGCTTTGCTACGACTCCCCGCTTTGCTACGACTCCCCGCTCCACTGCGACCCCCCACTCCACTGCGACTTCCTGCTCCGCTACAACTCCCCACACTGCGTGCCGCTACGACTGCCCGCTCCGCTACGACTCCCCGCTCCGCTACGACTCCCCGCACGGCTACGACTCCCCGCTCCGCTACGACTCCCCGCTCCGCTACAACTCCCGCTCCGCTACGACTCTCCCACCGCTACAACTCCCCGCTCCGCTACGACTCCCCGCACCGCTACGACTCTCCCACCGCTACAACTCCCCGCTCCGCTACGACTCCCCGCACCGCTACAACTCCCCGCTCCGCTACGACTCCCCGCACCGCTACGACTCTCCCACCGCTACAACTCCCCGCTCCGCTACGACTCCCCGCTCCGCTACGACTCCCCGCACCGCTACGACTCTCCCACCGCTACAACTCCCCGCTCCGCTACGACTCTCCCACCGCTACGACTCTCCCACCGCTACGACTCCCCGCTCCGCTACAACTCCCCGCTCCGCTACGACTCCCCGCTCCGCTACGACTCCCCGCTCCGCTACAACTCCCCGCTCCGCTACGACTCCCCGCTCCGCTACGACTCTCCCACCGCTACAACTCCCCGCTCCGCTACGACTCCCCGCACCGCTACAACTCCCCGCTCCGCTACGACTCCCCCGCACGGCTACGACTCCCCGCTCCGCTACGACTCCCCGCACCGCTACGACTCCCCGCTCCGCTACGACTCCCCACTCCGCTACGACTCCCCGCACGGCTACGACTCCCCGCTCCGCTACGACTCCCCGCTCCGCTACGACTCCCCGCTCCGCTACGACTCCCCGCTCCGCTACGACTCCCCGCACCGCTACAACTCCCCGCTCCGCTACGACTCCCCGCACGGCTACGACTCCCCGCTCCGCTACGACTCCCCGCACGGCTACGACTCCCCGCTCCGCTACGACTCCCCGCTCCGCTACGACTCCCCGCACGGCTACGACTCCCCGCTCCGCTACGACTCCCCGCACGGCTACGACTCCCCCGCTCCGCTACGACTCCCCGCTCCGCTACGACTCCCCGCACGGCTACGACTCCCCGCTCCGCTACAACTCCCCGCTCCGCTACGACTCCCCGCTCCGCTACGACTCTCCCACCGCTACGACTCCCCGCTCCGCTACGACTCCCCGCTCCGCTACAACTCCCCGCTCCGCTACGACTCTCCCACCGCTACGACTCCCCGCTCCGCTACAACTCCCCGCTCCGCTACGACTCTCCCACCGCTACGACTCCCCGCACAGCTACGACTCTCCCACCGCTACAACTCTCCGCTCCGCTACGACTCTCCCACCGCTACGACTCCCCGCTCCGCTACGACCCCCCGCTCCGCTACGACCCCCCGCTCCGCTACGACTCTCCGCACGGCTACGACTCTCCGCACGGCAACGACTCTCCGCACGGCTACGACTCTCCCACCGCTACAACTCCCCGCACAGCTACGACTCCCGCTCCGCTACGACTCCCCGCACGGCTACGACTCTCCCACCGCTACGACTCCCCGCACCGCGCGACACCCGCTCCGCTACGACTCCCGGCACAGCTACGACTCCCCGCATCGCGCAACTCGCCTCAACCCGCAATTCCCCTCCCCGTGACTCCCCGTGACTCCCCGTGACTCCCCGTGACTCCCCGTGACTCCCCGCGTGACCCACCTGCGGAGCGCCGCCGCGCCATGATTTGCTACCGTAGCCATAGAACAACGTTTGTGAAATTGATCCGTCGGTGTGGCTCCCCATGTAAAGCTTTAGCTCGGTATGTAGGGGGCGCTAAAGAGCCAATGTAATATTGTACACACTTTCAGGTGACCCAGGCCCAGGAGTAGAACAACCGGGTCAAGTTTAGTAAAAATCAAACTTTGTTTGTCCAAACGAGAGATATTTTTATATCGTCAAAAAAGGTCACTATTTGCCGCTCCGATGCTCGAACATTGTTTCACTGATAAAAATTCCCTGAGGTCATTTTGAAGGTACATGTGCTGAGATAATCTGGAGCGATTTTCAGGCGAATCGGTGAAACGGCCGAGGAGGAGTCGCTTTCCAACCGACATGTATGAAAACTTTTGCTGTTAATTTTTCCATTTTGCAGTGAAATTTATGGGCTCCCTGTTTGTCAGAGGGCGGGGCCATAATAAAACAAATTTCATGTCTTACCTTGTGGAATATGTGTACCAAATTTCATGGCTATACAGCAAACTTGACCTCGAAACGCTCCCATACTAAAAGCTTTGACCCCATCTGTAGGGGGCGCTAATGAGCCAAGTTCATTTATTTCACTTTCAAATGACCTAGACCCTAGAGTTGAACAATGTATTAAAGTTTTGTGCAAATCAGACTTTGTTTGTGCAAACGGGAGAAAATTTAATGTTGTAAAAAACTGCCAAAAAAAGGTCACATTTTGCCGCTCCGCTGCTCAAACAATGTTTCACTGATCAAAATTCCCTGAGGTCATTTTGAAGGTACATGTGTTGCTACATGTGGGCTTCCTGTTTGTCAGAGGGCGGGGCCATAATAATATTTTTTTCTTGACTTGACTTGAGGAACATGTGTACCGAATTTCATGGCTCTACGACAAACTTGATCTCCAAAAGTCCCATAGGGGTATTATTTTGGCTGTTGTAGGTGGCGCTGTTCTGGCATTTTTTGAGTCCCATAAAAATAAACACCAAAATATAATTTTTCGCCAGGTCTGATTTATGGGCAAAATGTAACAACTTTTCATGCATGTTCAGGGGGTCAAAATAAGGCTCAAAGAGCAGGAGAAAAAAAGAAAGAAATAAATAAATTAAAGCCGCAAGCGGCGTCAAACGGCCCTCGCCGCACCGCGCGCACCACCCCGCCCAGCATCAAGCCGCTCCGCACCAAGCCGCCCAGCATCAAGCCGCTCCGCACCAAGCCGCCCAGCATCAAGCCGCCCCGCATCAAGCCGCCATGCATCAAGGCGCACCAAGCCGCCCCGCGCCAAGCCGCCATGCATCAAGCCGCACCAAGCCGCCATGCATCAAGGCGCACCAAGCCGCCCCGCGCCAAGCCGCCATGCATCAAGCCGCACCAAGCCGCCATGCATCAAGCCGCACCAAGCCGCCCCGCGCCAAGCCGCCATGCATCAAGCCGCGCCAAGCCGCCATGCATCAAGGCGCACCAAGCCGCCCCGCGCCAAGCCGCCATGCATCAAGCCGCACCAAGCCGCCATGCATCAAGCCGCACCAAGCTGCCCCGCGCCAAGCCGCCATGCATCAAGCCGCACCAAGCCGCCATGCATCAAGCCGCACCAAGCCGCCCCGCGCCAAGCCGCCATGCATCAAGCCGCGCCAAGCCGCCATGCATCAAGGCGCACCAAGCCGCCCCGCGCCAAGCCGCCATGCATCAAGCCGCACCAAGCCGCCCCGCGCCAAGCCGCCATGCACCAAGCCGCCATGCATCAAGCCGCACCAAGCCGCCCCGCGCCAAGCCGCCATGCATCAAGCCGCCATGCATCAAGCCGCACCAAGCCGCCCCGCGCCAAGCCGCCATGCATCAAGCCGCCCCGCACCACGCCGCCCCGCACCACGCCGCCCCGCACCAAGCCGCCCCGCACAAGCCGCCCCGCACCAAGCCGCCCCGCACCAAGCCGCCCCGCACCAAGCCGCCCCGCACCAAGCCGCCCCGCACCAAGCCACAATGCGCCGCTCCACAACCCCCCGCACTACGCCGCACCACACCGTACCACGCAGCACCGTGCAAAGGAGGTGGGGCCGCCGTGTGATGATTTGTTGCTGTTGCCAAAGAAGAACGTTAGTCAAATTGTAATGAATATGATGATTAGAGCTGTTTGGCACCCCATGTAAAACTTTGCCTCAATCTGTAGGGGGCGCTATTGGGCCAATTTCAAATATTTCACTTTCACCTGACATAAACCCTGGAGTTGAACAATGGATTCAAGTTTTGTGCAAATCAGTCTTTGTTTGTGCAAACGGGAGCAAAATTAATGTTGTGAAAAACGGCCAATAAACACTCACATTTTGCCGCTCCGCTGCTCAAACAACGTTTCACTGATCAAAAATCCCTGAGGTCATTTTGATGGTACATGTGTTTAGACAATGTGGAGTGATATGGAGGCCAATCGGTGAAACGGCCGAGGAGGAGTTGCTTTCCAACCGACATGTATGAAAATGATTGCGGATCATTTTTCCATTTTGCAGTGACATTTATGGACTTCCTGTTTGTCAGAGGGCGGGGCCATGATAACATTTCGGTCGTATCTTGACTTGAGGAACATGTGTACCGAATTTCATGGCTCTATGACAAACTTGATCTCTGAAACTCCCATTGGCTGTTGTAGGTGGCGCTGTTCTGGCATTTTTTGAGTCCCATAAAAATAAACACCCAAATATCAAATTTTCACCAGGTCTGATGTTTGGGCAAAATTTTACAACTTTTCATGCATGTTCAGGGGGTGAAATTAAGGCTCAAAGTGCAGAATTTGACATCTCTCGAGTAAAAACAATAGGCCCTTTCCCCGTTCGGGGCTCGAGCTTAATAAGGAATTTCTTTTTCGACGTCTCGAGCAAAAACAATATAGGTTTCAATGGCACGTGATACATCATTTTAAAGCGTTTGAGTTTACGCACGCAACCGTCACGTCGGGGTGCGTGACGGGCGCTGACGCGTCCGTCACGCACCGCCACCATTTGCATTCACCATTGTGAAAGCAATAGGCCCTTATATCGGGCCTAATAAATAAAAAAGGATTTTTTTTTTACTTGTCTCAAGCAAAAACATGCTAAAATGGAAAACGCTAAAAAGGAACACGCTAAAATGGAACATGCTAAAATGGAACACGCTAAAAAGGAACATGCTAAAAAGGAACACGCAAAAATGGAACATGCTAAAAAGGAACACGCTAATATGGAACATGCTAAAAAGGAACATGCTAAAAAGGAACACGCTAAAATGGAACACGCCAAAATGGAACACACTAAAAAGGAAGATGCTAAAAAGGAACACGCTAAAATGGAACACGCCAAAATGGAACACACTAAAAAGGAACATGCTAAAAAGGAACACGCTAAAATGGAACATGCTAAAATGGAACATGCTAAAATGGAACACATTAAAATGGAACATGCTAAAAAGGAACACGCTAAAATGGAACACACTAAAATGGATCATGCTAAAATGGAACACGCTAAAATGGAACATGCTAAAATTGATCATGCTAAAATGGAACACGCTAAAATTGATCATGCTATAATTGTTTAAAAGTAAATTCTCCCTTGGATTGAGAAATAAATCGCAGCTGGTCTTGGAAAAATACTAAAATGCTTGTTCTATTGGGAACTATGGTTTTAATGTACTCCACACATTCATGACTTTAGAGTGCCTTCAAAAAGTATTTATTTTTGTACTTTTTGTAATATACATAGTTCCCACATGACGTCACTACATACGGGGATTTGCCGACCCGGCGCCATTTGTGTTGGCATTCTGTGGGCAAAACAATAGAAAAAGAAGCTGAAACGTGTTAATGTCGTGATAAAGTTGAAAATGGTCATCTCCTGCTGGGTCAATGGATGTTCAAATCGTGCCGGAGGTTCTGTTAAACTTGGATTTTACAGTATACCCATCATTAGACTTCATGAATGTGAGAAGACTAAGCTTTTGTCAGAACAACCACGGAGGTTATGGCTTGCGAAGATAAACAGGCAAGAAACTCCCTCAAAACACGCAAGAATATGCTCGGAGCACTTTGTGTCAGGTGCGTATCATATCTCATAATGTGTTGACAGACGTAATTTACTCAGTACTAACTTGTGTATGCTGATAGCTGGTAACTTGAGAGTTTCATTATTTAGATTACTTTATTATGAGGAGGATCGTTGTCGCGTCCGAGGCTCTCGAGGGCAACGTAAATGTATTAAATAGATAATAATAGTTTTATGGTGGGCTAAAACAATGTTCACAAACAGCATTGCTTCTGTAAAAAGATCTGTGTCATAAAATAAACTGCTCTTTACGCCTGGAAAAATCAGTTGCCCACCATTCACCAAAACATACGGTCAAAAACGCGGAAATAAACAATAACAGCAATCCAGAGTGTCCGTGTGGCATTAGCATTAATTAAATTAATTGTTAATATAATTAAAATAATTAAATGGAGCTCCAACTGGTATTAAATCTAAAGTTTTTGAGAAATGTTTGCATTGCTTGTTAATTTTTGCTGCATAATTTGATCAAATATGTAAAACATGTCCGTAGCACGTTAAACTGTGGTGCCATTGTATTAATATACAATTATTTGCTCAAAAGTTGCCCTTTTTTTCCAATTTGCGTTTGAATATCTACATTTATTCTCATTCTTCTGTTTAATGGAATGCACAAACACAGCAGCATGCCATCAAAGATGGCGTCTCCGAGGAGGTCATGTGACATTCATTGGTCTGTGGGAACTATGTATACATATAGATATACAGTACAGACCAAAAGTTTGGACACACCTTCTTATTCAAATATTTTTTTATTTTCATGACTATGAAAATTGTAGATTCACACTGAAGGCATCAAAATGATGAATTAACTCTTGTGGAATTATGTACGTACTAAAAAAAGTATGAAACGAC